TTGTGGCCTGAAAACGGAACCATTCGTCACATCCTCGACGATGACATCCCAAGTTTAAATCGAAGAATGCCTGAAAAAGCGTGTATTGCCGTTCATCCGCAAGCAGAGGGGAAAAGTCATCTTTTGGCCTGATTTGGCCAGCTGTCACTACTCCAAGGTGGTTTTGGAGTGGTATGCTGCCAACAAGATCGATTTTTTCCCTAGCTAATGAATTCTCCGAATTTCCCGGAATTTTGACCAATCGAAAAATACTGGGCAATTTCAAAGCAGCGACTTCGACTAAACGGCGGGGCAGTCAAAGACATCCAGCAAATGCGGGCAAAATGGAAGAAATGCGCTCCGTTTCCACTGTGCAAGCGCTGATAGGCTCCATCAAGAGGAAGGTTCGAGATTTCGTTCGAACTGGAGAAATGTAACCATCTTATCCTGTAACTTTGAAGTTTTAATAAATGTACTGTTAAGCAACCATTAATGGACATTAAAAACTTATTGAATCACGAATTACAGGCCCTTTTTGCGTACCAATTTTTTTTTTTTTTGGTAGTTCATATTGGTTTGATATGCGATTATACACCGGAAAAAATACGATTCCATTTTCATGAATAAAATGAAATCAAAAAACTTGCCATCCCATGTAATCATAACAATGATTCGTGATTTCGTTATGGAAATTCATGATTTCATAATGCAGTGGAATCATGACCGCTTCAAGTGTTACCTGGAAAACCGTGTTCACCGCACTACATAGGTATCTCTTATACGCCTTTCGCCATCCATCTTATAAAAGTACTGAATAAAATTCATGATATCTAGTGGTCAAAGTATGGATATATTGATCGTTAGGTTCTTGGTTCGAATCCAGTCTGTTGCTTTAATTTATTTTTTATATGTTTTGATTTAAAAACTTAAAGTTAAACTCATGAATTTAGTTCATGATTTTAACTCGGATGATTCTTAATTTCGTGATTCTTGGGTGCGTTACGCAAACATAGCTCATGATATCATGTATATTATTCATGGTGTATTTTCATAACATGAAAATACGATATGTCCATGAAATCATGAGTCATTTATCTCATTTCGGATTTCTGATTTCTTCCCGTGTAGGCTTTAATTTAGTTTAATTATAGTCCTAACTGCTGCCCTGTTTGACATAATAGTCTCATTAGCATTTTTGACGACAAGTACCAAGTAACATCACTTTACAATATACACGAATAGTTTCGTACTTTGTTCAGAAAATGTCAACAATTTTAGCTGCAGAATAGCTAATACAGGCAAACATTATATGCATGAGCCAATTTTTGCCTCAATAAGCTATTCTGCTGCTAAAATTGTTTGTTGGGAAGAGCCCATACAGAAAAAAAATCAACAGAATATTTAACAGCTTGCTATTTTAACGAATGGGTGAACTATATTGTAAAGGGCAGTAGTGAAGTGATCAAGCATTTTTTCCAAAGTTATTTTTTTCTTACAAAACCTTAAACAATTATGTTTTGTGTAATAGGCGGGAAAGTATTTAATTAATTAAATTAGCTAAGATCAATTTTACACATTTGTATGAATAACCTTAAGGGTACCAAATTGCAGAATCTGTTCATGTTGCGATTCCTTACAGTAATCGAATCTGCACAAAATTGTAAAAGTACGGTTAACTACCTCATTTCCGGCCTATTAAGCACAACCCGGACTTAGTGTTTCTTAATCTAGCGTAGTTTAGCACCAAACGGAACGTAATTGTTACAAATGGCTTCCAAATTTATTTACCTTTCCATATGCACCGTTAGTTCTGTTAAGGGGTCGCGAAATATGCGTTTATTGTTGAAAATGCAAAACTGCTTCCAGCGGCTCAACTTGGCCTACGGATTTTCATGAGTCTATTAGCCATTGAAACACCATTGGGATGTTCTTTGGCCAATCGAACGGAAAGAAAAGTGAATTCGCGTACGCCTTTTGTACATTTCATGTGCGCCTTTTGTTTTCGAAATCTTATTTTGCGTTCGTCTTGCAGCTATTGAATAGAAGCATAGTACCAAACGTTTGTTTGACAAGTTCACGCCGAAATCATAGATACATTTGATGTTTTGTGCTCGATTGGTCGGGAGTGGGCGATTAGGCGGAACTATATTTTTCCCCTATCTTAAATTCCCCTACTGGGCGAAGGATGTCGCAAATATTGCCGTAAATTTGAACCCACGAGGATTCGTCATGTTCTGACCACATGCGAGATGTTACTACATCAAGAATTCCGGGCAAAGTCTGAGATCAAATTGAAAACTAATTTTGATGTTGTGATGTCACTGATAATAATTGATCAGGTTGCAGTCTATTTGGTCGTTTAAACGGTTAAAATATGATAATTGAGAGCAAACAAATCCTCCTGAGACATCGCATTGAAAACTAATTTATCACTTTAGATGCTCAAGTTTTGAACCCACCACGGCATGCTTTTGGTGCTACTGTATATGGACGATCATATGTAAAATACTGTGGTAGCCACAGCATAGTTCTATCAAAACTTCAGCATTTTCATTGATCCATTCTGCCATCAGTGAGAGCAAACTGAAAACTCTGATGTACATTTTTCCTGTTTATAACAAAACGAATATTCAGTTTGATGATCTGCTAAGGCAATGAAAACACAGCTGCAACAACATATTTTTGAAAAGCTAAATAAAAACAAAATTTGTCAATCGAGTAAACTGAAACCAAATTATGATTTCAGTTTGATGTTGATATCAAAATTGGATTTTGATTTGCTATAATTGTGATGATGAATTTTGCTCGGGATGTGCTACACTACTTCGTTTTTTTTCAGAGTCTTTGGAGCCCCTTGGTAATGGACTTATCTAAAACTAAAAGCAAGGTAAACATAAAAAATAATAATACAGTCAAATAAACATATGCTTCAAACACTAAACAAAAAATAGATAAAAAATGCTTGCTCCCAGATAAACGATTTTTTTTAAAGATGGTTACATTTACAATTCAACAATATTTGAAATAATGTGTTGAATAATATTTATAGAGAATAAATGGAATTCTTTTTATTTGCGGTTGATACGATTTTAGATCAATAATGTATTGATGTTAGATCTGTAATACTTCTTCAAACTGGTTTTGAGTAATATCATAGAGGTAACTCTAAGACTAGTAGGTCCCGAAGAAATGTGCTCAACTTTTTGGCTCAGCTCTGGTACTATCTTCGGTCCCAAGCTAATCGATTCACCCCTCGAAACATAGGAAAATCGAATAACCCCTCATTTTATCTGTCAAACTTTCATAGCGAATCAAAACAAACATTGTGTAGTACTAGAATTTTGACTAGAATGGGGTGCGTTAATCGATTTACTTGGGACCAATAGGCTAGTCAAGTAGTGAGCCAATTTAAAATCGTTAGTTTCGTATTGATTGTTGGTAATATTCTGTTGTTGGTAAATTTGAATCTCTGGCAGTATGTTATATACGAAAGTAGAGAGATATTCGCCTTTGACCAAGACTACTGAAAGCGCTAGTTATCACTAAATTATTTTCATATCTCGTGTTGTGACCATGATAATCAATAGGTAATACCACATTAGGATTAAGTGTATGCACCCAAAATAAAATTTGAGGAGTGTATCACGAGTAGCAAAATGTCTAACTCGGTACAATATAACTTCCCCAAGATAGCACAGGGTCTAGAACTAGACCACCTTTTTCCACAATTGTCTGTCCAACAGACGGATTTGAATGTGGAGGATTTTTTTCCGTGGAGAATGGCATAACATATATTTAGTCTTCACCAAATTTAAGGATAATAAATTTTAATCAAAGAACCTCATAAGAATTCGAAAATCATCATTCATGCTAGAAATAATGGAAGAAGTATTTTGACTTGGATAAAAAATTGCAGTATCATCAGCGAATAACCTTCGTATTTCTTCGGTAGATGTTTATGTAAATTAGAAATAAAAGAAGTTAAATTTTACTGCCTTGAGGAACATCCATATTAAACGTTCTTAAAGAGCATCCTCGATAACTACATAGGGTAGAGAACTACTTCGGCCTAATCGCCCATTTTGGGCCTATCGAGCAGAAAACATCAAATAAATCCATGATTTCAGAGTTAACAAGTCTATTATGCGTTTGGTACGATACTTTAGTTAATAAGCTACGGAACGCAGTCAATGAGAACGCATGATATGAAGGTTTGCACCCATTATTCCCAAAAACAAAAGAAGCGCTCCGAACGAATCAATTTTTTTCTTCATCCGACAGGCCGAAGTGAATTCATTTGCGTTTCAATGCGTTAGACCGAGTTTATAATCCGTAGGCCGAGTGTGGAGTCAAGAAGCAATGTTAGACTTTTGGCAATATATCAACGATTGGTTTCTCTTTATCAAATCTTACGGTATATACGGAAAGGTGAATAAATTTGGAAGCCATCACTAATAATAACATTTCGTTTGGTGCTAAACTGTGCTAGATTAAGAAAGATTAATTGCGGGTTGTGCTTAATAGGTCGGAAATTGCATAGTTAACCCTATTGCTGTCTATTAGTATCGTGTTCCATAGTATGCTATTTTTTGCAAAAGAATGCTATGGTTCAGAGTATCGAACGCCGACAACAACGTAGAAATTGTCAAAAAGAACTCCACCCACCCAAATGTCCCTGTGCAATTACAAAGCAATTAAAAAAATCCTCGAGCTTCAACTGCATACATACATCCACAAACTATGTACCAATTAATAACAAGCATCATAACAATTGATAGCACAGTTTGGACAAAAGATACAACTTTTACTAGACTCTGCCAAATTCTATCGATTCACTCGATTGTATTGCCTTTTGAAATGCTGTAAAACACTGCAAAGTAATTAAGCCTTCATGTTTTGAAATGAATCGGAAACAAGCAGAAACCGTTAGCGGAACGACGACAGAGACTACCCCAGTGAAGCAAGCAATCAATATAGGGCAACATGTTCATCAGAATTTATAACGCAACACATAACTTTACCGCTTAATTTTGAAGCTACCGCTGCGTCAAGTGCTGCTCGGCCGATGGTACAAGTTTTTTTTTGTATTCCTAGTCCCCCGTTGTTGGTTGTTTCGGTCCGTGTGAACTGCAAACTGCTACCCTGTTGTTTTATGACGGTATTCCATTTTCAATCTTCCTGGGCTGGATGCTCCATGGGAAAAGTTTTTCCTCACCCAGCCGGGTTGTTTTGTGACGAGCCGAAACAGAGGCCGTCTGTCTTCATTCAGCTTTAGCACATCATGACAACACAAATTTTCATCCTATAATCGTTCACAGCTCCCGACCATCGTCGATCGGTGGAAGTTTGACCAATTTCACTTTGTGATGTTACACACGCATAAACACACACACTCTGACATGACACAGAAGGTTGGCATTTTCCAGAACCCACTTAGCATCCCTAGTGGTGACGATGATGAAACACTAGTGGACAATCAATTTTCATCACTTTTTATCGCTTTTCTTTGGGCTCCTCTGTGGCTTTCACTAACGAATCACTATAAAATAATTTATATCTTGTCAGCAACATTCGTTTATTGGTTTCATTTTCTCTTTTTGGCACACTTTTCAAACTTCGTGGGATGTGGCGGGGGCCATGTGGTATTATTTCTTCTCAATGTATTCACTGGAAGATTTTATGCTTGTTCTGAATTCTTTTCAAACGATGATATTGCACACATTTAAAATTTGATTACTTTAGCTAGCACAGGTATTCTGCTCGAACACGATTTAATCACGTTGATTTAATGCTAAACACTTTATCTGATGTGCAGGTCTGGTTTTGGTTATAACAATGAATGTGTGCATTTAACGTAATCCTCTATCCCACACAGCAGCTGTGGAAGTCTAAACACAGCATTGTTCCGAGAACAACGATCAATAGCATCCACCCATTCTCTGCCGCTTGTTGAGCATCTAAACGCTTAATGCTGTTTCCGACCTATCGCGACACGAAAACAATCACGCAGTCCACAGCTCACGCAGGAAGAACGATTATAATCCTGTCGAGTGACGAGGCACCATCAAACTCTAGCTGTACCACCAACTGTTATCATAGTTACTCAACATGCATCATACCTCGTTCGTTCACTAACAGGTTTCTACCAACAGTAGCTCTTCGCCTCCAAGCAGGTATGGCCACTACCACCGAGGATGGCAATGTTAAACGAACAAGCATCCATTATCAACACCGCAACTGGGATCAACAGTAGCCGCAGCATCAATACTACTAGTACCATACCGACGTCATCGATTTAATAACCATTGCTTCTCCATGTACCCACTTCTAAACACTCACATCTCTTCACCAAAGCAACACTCACTCGATTCACACTAAGAGAAAGAGAGAGAAGCAGAACAAACCCCCAAAATTACCCCAATCACTATGGGGGGAGAAACACCTTCCGTTGATATAATTTGCTGGGAAACAACACAACTCCTTTTGCGATGCAACTCCCTTTACAGCTCCCCGACAGTTATGGCTATGCAATCACTGCCAATCACCACCGCACTATTCTCTGACACGCGACCACCGTATTACAGATCAAGAGTTTCGAATCCGTGGGAAAACCGTGAGAAAAACTCCGACCGACTACGAACAATCACCGCGGAAAACCCGAGGGCACATCCGATGGGCATAGATGTCACGCTGAAACTACTTGAAGCTCACAAATCTTCGTCCGACCAGGACCAACCCGAAACAGCTCAACTGCAGAATCCCACTCGGGCATGCTCTCGCTCTTTCTATGCTCTCTGCTCCACTAAGCATTGCAATCCTTTTGCTCCAACTCCCAGCTCCATCAGCTGACTATAACACAGCCTCCCCAGGTCGAAGAGCACCAATCTTGCCACCATCAGGAGACTCTTATACCATATCACCCCAAAAACCACCAACACCTTGTTTACGCTCACGAATTGCAGCTCCACTAGCCCCGATATAGTTGCGAGAGATTTTCCATTCTCGGAGTTTCCTCTCGAAATACCGAACCTACCCTATGCTCACCGCGCGGTTCGGGCTGTTCGGGTGTGCTGAAAAGGACATGCGCCTTCGATACATTCAGCGAGGTCGTAGCTGTCACCGGACCCAGCGACTGCAGGCATGGAAATGGGCATGAATATTTTCGTAGACTATCAAAACAAGCATACTGCTAGCGACACGTAGCTTCTCAACATAGAAGTAAAGAAGCGATATTCATCTTAGCGGGTTTGGATCAACTAGTCGAAAATTCATACGTTTGTCCTTTTTTTACAACAAACGTTCAAATTGATCAATTTAGAATAGATCCAATTAGGGTAGAGAACTACTTTGGCCTTATTTCCCATTTTGGGCCTATCGAGCAGAAAACTTCAAATAAATCCATGATTTCAGAGTTATCAAGTCAATTATGTGCTTGGTACGATAGTTTAGTTAATAAGCTACCGAACGAAGTCAATGAGAACGCGTGATATGAAGGTTTGCACCCATTATTCCCAAAAACAAAAGAAGCGCTCCGACCGAATCAATTTTTATGTTTAGAATCCGTAGGTCGTAGGCCGAGTTTAGCGTCAAGAAGCAGTGTTAGACTTTTGACAATATCTTAACGATTGGTTTCTTTTTATCAAATCTTACGGTACGTATGGAAAGGTAAATAAATTTGGAAGCCATCAGTAATAACAACATTCCGTTTGGAAAATGAGGGAGCATTATTCTCACTTCCCACTTATAAATGCCCAAAAGAGATGATCAGTGAGTGAATGATTTTGCTACTCTCTCCTTGTCATTTAATCTAACTGCCATGGATGGCTTTTTATGAAGACGGTCTAGTGAGGTAGAGGCTAGTTGTGCTAGTTGACCGTCATTTCAAAGATGTGACGGTTATGCGAGGATGACCGTCAAGGTACAATAACGGTTATGATAATGCACAGCACTGACCAAGTCCTTTGCCCGCATCGAGACTTTCAAGAGTCATAAAAATTTCTTTAAAAGTGATATTATTAATTGATACGTCATTTTCCCCTCCATGTAGGTAAGAAAAATAGTTCAAATCGAGAGCATTACTGGATTTCTTATGTATGTTTTGGAAAAAGTGAGCAAATTGGTTACAAATATCCTCACTATCACTGCTATCAAACTCTTCAAACAGCATGCGTGATGGGAATGTACATGACTTCATATTTTTCATTTTAGGATCAGATTTTATATTATTCTTTACTCTTGATATTTTTGCTTCAAGTGCTCCGCAAATTTCAACGTATTTTTCTAAATTTTATGAAGTTTTAAAATGTTTATACGACTTGTGTGCTTTTTGCTTCCTGTTTTTAATATTTTTGATTTATTGTGGATATTTGGTGCAGTTCACTATTCTCTTTTAGTTTTTTTGGAACTAATACTTCAATGATACTGTATAAGTTAGTATAAAATATATCAACAGCCTTGTCCATGTCGTTTTCGTTTTTTAAAAGGTATTGCCAATTTATGTTATTCAGGCTGCTGTGAAATTCAGGAACAATTGCATTTTTAAAATCATAAACTAATTCAAAATCAACAACGCTTGGGTGTGACCGATGCGAGTCTGTGAACACTGAGTATCCAATAGCCGTATGAGATTTTTCATTGTTCCACAATGGAACTGCTGCTTCTACAATACAAAAATCTTATGTAAAACATAAAATCCAAATTGAAATTGAGCTGGTTACGAACGTGGTTAATTTGATGAAGTCCTAAGTGGCTGCTTTTATCAAAGATGAATTGTAAAGTATCGTTTTCACCTTCAATTGGTAACAGCAGAGAATGATTATCACTACCCTGTATAAGATTAACAGTATTCTGGTTAAAATCTCCATAAATATGAATTTGGGTTCTTGGATATTTTCTTTGAATTTTTCAGTTCTGCAATAGTGAAAAACTTTTCGTAAGCTGGTTTTTTGGAAAAGTGTGGAGGAAAGTAGACAGAAGCGAAAAGATGTTCTTCACAATCTATTAAAATTTTAACCCACACATCTTCAAATTCTTTTTGTCTTTCACTAGCAATTTGTTCAGCTTGAAATGTAACATTCACTTTTTTCATAACTTTTTTTTTTCATTTGATTTGTTTTCCGTCGAACTTGTTTTCCGTACTGGGTACAATGCTACCGACGCCAGGAAGGCAGCTTCTACACCTGGACCCTACCTGTCGACCCATAACCTCATGAACCGGCTTTACTTCCCTTCAGAAGGAAGGCGTGATCAGAGATGTTATGCCTCAGAAAATCCTGACGGTGCCGACTGGGATTGAACCCTGCCATAATATGGTCTCATAGAAAATGTTTTGGTATTTTTTGTTTTGCTTTCAATCGTATTGCAGATGCAATGGTGCTTGGTGTGATCCCACGATTCCAGGTATGGGCGTATGGCTTCGATCGTGCACGATTTATTTATCGTTTGCTTCGATGAGTCACATAAAAGTTTATTGAGTCGCAGAGGTAGTTTGTTCGCTAACATATAAGACAACACATTCAATGATGGGAGTATGTGTTCGGGATTGGCTGATCGATAGTGAAAATAACATGGAAGATTTGAATTGTGATGCAGCTTTAGAATTATCAGCATTATATTTGTGATACGGATGTTACAAAACTTTCATTGGATCTATTGATCGAAATTATTCAAGTTTATCTTCAGCTCTTCGATGAATTTATTTCTATTAATTTTATATTGATGTACTTTTTTCAGCCTTCCTTCAGGCTCGATCGATTGTTTTAAATTATTTAAGTTTAGTTTCAGCTCTTCAGCTTTTGCTTATGAGGCGATTAGTGGTTGCTTGAGATCGTTTAACCGCTTAACTATTGCGTTTTTCCTTCGTTATGTTGATTGTGTCGGATCTTTTGATAGCAGGTGGGATCATTTGACAACAGTGTCATTTTATGATCGTACTCAGTTGTGTACATAACCACCATTCTCTTTCCTTTATCGGATTCCACAATCACGATAAAATTGCATCACGGAAAAAACGTTGTAGAAAATTACCCATTGGGTATTTTCTCTTGAAAATTTGGGTAGAAATAGTTTAAAGTGTATTGTTTCAACTGTATTTTTATCAATGTCAGTTTTTCAAAAGTTGGAAAAAATGGCGTCACGCGAAAAGCAACGTCTCGAATTGATTTTGCGCAAGCACCTGAAAAATCCTCAACTCTCTCATCGGGACATCGGAAAACAACTCGGAATCGTGCAGTCAACGGTGAGTCATGTGGTTAACCGTTACTACGAAACTCTGAGCATTGAACGGAATTAGAAATGGGTCAGAATGGATGTTCTATTGGTGGTCAGGATAACAAGCGTGTCGTGAAAGCGTTTAAGCGAAATCCCAATGCTTCGGTTAAGGATGTGGCCAAAAAAGTTGAATCTGTCCAAGTCTTTCGTTCAGAGAGCCAAGGACCGGGAGAGATTGCATACGTACAAAGTGCAGAAGGATCCAAATCGTGAAGAACGGCAAAATACGGTGGGAAAGTCACGGGCCCAGAAACTGTACACCCAGATGCTGACGAAGCCTCATTGTCTCAGCATGGATGATGAGACTTACGTCAAGGCGGGCTTGCGACAGCTTCCGGGGCTACTGACCTTCACCACCCTGCACAAGTTTGATATTCTGGAGGAAGTAAGGAAGCAGAAACTTTCAAAGTTTGCCAAGAAATACACGATTTGGCAAGCGATCTGCTCATGTGGCAAACGGAGTGCGCCGTTCGTGACTACCGGGACTGTGAACAGAGAGATCTACCTCAAGGAGTGTCTACAGAAGCGTCTGCTTCCTCTGTTGAAGCAACACGAGGGCCCTACGATTTTCTGGCCGGATCTAGCTTGGTGCCACTATACAAATGTTGTCCTGCAGTGGTACGAAGCCAACGGGGTCACTTTCGTACCCACTCGTAGCACTTCTCAGCTTGCCGCTCAAACGCACCGCGTTTTTCCAAATTTTTTCTGTTTAAATTTCAACATTTTTCTGTTTAAATTTCAAATTTATTTAGAAGATGACATTGTTAAAAATCATCAAATTTCATCACTCAAACAAGTAGTCGTAGTACAATAGAGATTGATGCCATAAATTTGAATGCGGTATTGTTTGTTGATGTAAACGTCTATGAATCAGAGTTATGAAAAAAAAGTGTGTCAAAGAATTAAAAATATAGAGAAATTTATGTGAATAGTCAATAAAAATGGCTGGATTTTATATTTCGTACAAAAAAAATACTGTCTGCTTTTTTATGTATTGTCGGCAATTATGAAAGTTGAGAAAAATATAAAATGAATGTATAAGAAAAGGCGTCAACGTTACCTAAAAACCAATCAGAATTATTGTTCTGCTGCAATGATTTCTGCGACCCGCGGCAAAAGATGTTGATTCATTTTTAACAACATTAGATCTTTCACCGTCTGATCGGATAATCGCATCCGATTGTCATCCATCACATATTTCAGTTGGCTAAAGAGGCGTTCCACCGTTACTTGAGTCGATGGAATTGATAGAACTTCCCTAGCCAAGCGATAAATCCGTGGATTTGTGTGACGTCGCTGCTTCCAATAGTTAAAGATGTCAAAGGGCTCCGAAGTGCTGGTTGAACTACCCGGTGAACTCGACGTACAAATACTCACTTTGGCT